AAGAAACAATCCCTTCGAGACCCTTCCAATTCTCCCACACGCAACAAGACTCACAAACCAAGGCACCTTCCTCTCCTTCCCAATCTCCACGACTGCTGCCAGCATGCCGACTATCTTGAACAGCGACATTGAGTCGGTAGTCTTGGACTATTTCCTACTCAGGAAGATAAGGGTCATCGGCTCATGGCCCAAATCAATCTTCAGACCGGACACAATGTTCCACAACTTAGAGTTTGACCCAGCGGAATGGGCATGGATACCGGACAAGACTAAAAATATCAAATCCAAAATCCCAATTCACGATTATACAGTTAAACTAGGGTACAAACTATCACTGAAAACGAAGTACCCTGACCCTATCATTAAAATAAGATGGCACAATCTACTGGGCCAAGAGGCAGACAAAATCACACAGATCCAGTGGAAAAAGTTCAAACTCATCAGGCCAATTAAAATCAGAAGCTTACAATGGCTAATCACCTACGCAGCATTACCAGTGAACCAATGGCTACACAAGAGGCGTAAGAGTTCAGATCCTAACAACTCAGAATTATGCATGGTCTGCAATAATGGGACAATAGAGGACATGATCCACTGCCTAATACATTGTAGGGAGGCGACAAACTACTGGGCAAGAGCATCGACACTCTGGGACTCCCTTTTCACAACTCCCTTTCCCGAACATCCCATCCAACTTCTCCTCTTGACTAATATCCCTCGACAGTTTCAGAAGGCAGAAAAAAATTGGTTTGGTCCCATCAGAAAGACCACACTATGGGTCATACGGAAGGAAAGATGCAACAGAACGATTGAAGGACTGTCCAACCCACGCGAAAAAGTGTGGATAGAGACAAAAGTGATGATACAAGCCGAAATCCTCTGCAGATGGAGGAAGACCAAGCAGGCATGGACGGAGGACGAGGAACAACGAAGGAAGGAGAGATCGACCTTCAGCAAAAACTGGTTGATAAACGGCAAGATTGCAGAGCTACGTGAAGACCATATTCACTGGAAAGATTGGCACAATTCAACCCCAGGAAGGATTCACCAACAAGAGATAACCGCTGAGAGACAAGACGTTCCACGATTAGACATCTAAGAGGAGTGGACAAGACGGGAGTAAGGGTGTCATAGAGCATGACAATAGTTGGAGGTCTAGGGATTAAGGGTTTAAGGGATCCTCACGGACGGGAAAATCCTTCCGGCCGGCCTGGCTCAACCTGGGAAGTTCTATCATCAGACGAGGGTTTAGGGTTCAGGGTTTTTGAGGAAGGGGGCTTTAGGAACAAACTAGAGATGGGATCAGATAAACTGAAGACCTACAGGCGAGAAGGAAAAAGAAGAAGGGAGAAGGAAGAAGGGAGAAGGAGGGGAGAGAAACAAAACAGGAGAAGAGGAAGTGGCCAGGTAGGAGAGGTATAAAAGGAGGAAAGGTAAGATGGGACAGAGGGTATCGTGGATCACGGGCAGGACGGTTAAGTGGGAGTACAAAGGCTAGCTTGGACAAATGAGGGAACTCTTTCTAGGTGGCAGTGATCTACTGAGCAGCGGAGATGATGTCTGAACTGCAGCGGGTCGCGAAGTGAACACCAGCCATTGGTCAGTAGCAGTACGAGGCTGTGGCACGAGGTTAAGTACTGTGCTGCTCCACGATGCCGCTGTGGACCATCTCCCTCTCTCAAGTCTACCTCCTAGCTCCTCTAGCACTGCCTCGCTGTCTCGTGTCAATGCTCAAAATACTCTCTCTCTCTCTCTCTCTCTCTCTCTCTCTCTCTCTCTCTCTCTCTCTCTCTCTGTGAGATGTATCTGCTACTGAGCAGCGGAGATGATGTCAGAACTGCAGCAGGGCGCAAAGCGAGCATCAGCCATTGGTCGGTAGCAGTACGAGGCTCTGGCACGAGGTTAAGTACTGCGCTGCTCCAAGATGCCTCTGTGGACCATCTCCCTCTCTCAAGTCTACCTCCTAGCTCCTCTAGCACTGCATCCCTGTCTAGTGTCAATGCTCAAAATAGCGCTGCTCGCCAGCGGCGTATTACCGCAATCGCGAAACTCTCCCACTATCCCTAAACTGAGAGCCGGTCCGCCTCTATACTGCTGAGCATACTAAAAACTCACCCTGCCTGTGTCTGAGGCTGTCCAATCTAAACTAAGATGGAGGTCCTAAATGTAGGTTCTAGCCCTGGTCAAGGTGCCTGGCCCAAAACAGCCAGCCTGGGTCCCTACCGAACGTCCAGGCCGCCCCGCAGATGAGGAAGGGCAAGTTCAGAATCGGACGAGGGCTGGCCCCAGTCGCTATCGGCCAAAACCAGTCCAGCCCAGATGCGGACGAAAGAGCGCTGGGCCTCAAACTCCCAAAACGTGGGACCCAGTACCTCCACTTGTCTGAACAGGTACTTGCCTGTGCCTGTTCA